CCAGCAGGAATAGGAACTCCCAGCAGGAATAGGAACTCCCAGCAGGAAAAGGGGGGTGTCGTGGGCTGGGAGAAGGGAGTTTTCCATACTCCCAGGGAATTTTCCATACTCCCAGGGAATTTTCCATACTCCCAGGGAATTCTCCATACTCCCAGGGAATTCTCCATACTCCCAGGGAATTCTCCATACTCCCAGGGAATTCTCCATACCCCCAGGGAGTTTCCCATACCCCCAGGGAGTTTCCCATACCCCCAGGGAGTTTTCCATACTCACAGGTGGAAGGGGAAGAGCGAGGAGGGTTTGGAGGCGCAGAATTGCTTCCCGGTGACCATCTGGAGCAGCTGCCTGTAGATCTCCCGCTCCTCCTCCCGCACCGTCTGCAGGGACACAACCCCCGGGATGATTCCCACGGATCCAGCCCGGGACAGGCCTGGAAAACTCCTGGGAAGGGGAGCTGGGAGGCTGCACAGCCAGCCAGGAGCCCCCGGGAGCTCGGCCCCGCCCGGCAAAGGGGCTCTCGGTGGGATTGTGGGGGGTCCTGTGCAAGGGCAGGGGTTGGGATTTTGGGATGAGTCGGATTCTGGGGTTCCTGTGCAAGGACAGGGGTTGGGATTTTGGGATGAGTGGGATTCTGGGGCGTCCTGTGCAAGGGCAGGAGTTGGGATTTTGGGATGAGTGGGATTCTGGGGGGTCCTGTGCAAGGGCAGGAGTTGGACTGGATGATCCTGGTGGGTCCCTTCCCACTCAGGATATTCTGTAATTCCTTTTCTCCCTTCCCCTCTTTCCCTTTCCTTTTTCCCCTTCCCTTCTCTTCTTTCCCTTCCCTTCTTTCTCTTCCTTTCTTTCCCTCCCTTTTCTCCTTCCCTTCCTTCCCTTTTTTCTTTCCCTTCCTTTCCCTTTTTTCTCTTCCCTTCTCTTTCCCCTTCCCTTTTCTGCTTTCCCTTTTTTCCCTTCATTCCCTTCTCCTTTTTCCCTTCCCTTCCCTTCTCCCTCCAGGTTCCACACCCATCTCTGGGGGTTAAACCCCCTTTTTTCTCCCTGTATCCCTGCATTTCTTGCCCTTTTCCCCACTAACCTGCACCCCTGACTCGTGCTCCCCCTTCACCTCCTTTTAAACCAGCCCCAAACCCTCACCCCAGCTCGGGGAGGGGGGATTTATCCAGGGACAAACACACCTTACA